GTCCCACCATCAGCCCCACAATCAACCCCACCATCACCCATACCCTCATCACCACCATTAACCACACCATCACCCATACCATCACCCCGCCATCTCTCATCCCCACCCTCACTCACTCTCATCATCACCCTCAACACCACCATCACCCTCACCAACACCCTCACCATCATCATCACTCTCATCCTCAACCCCACCATCACCCCCACCATTACCCTCACACCCACCATTAACTTCACCCCCACCATCACCCCCACCATTACCCTCACACCTTCCATCACCGTTAGCCCCACCATCACCCTCACCACCATCACACCCACCCACAACCTCACCCCCAACATCACCCCAAACGTTACAATCACCCCCACTTTGACCCTCACTCCCACCATTAACACCACCATCATGATCACACCCTCCCTCACTCCCAAGATCACCCACGCCATCACTATCACCCACACTCTGAACCTCACATCACCGACAACCCCACCTTCACCCCATCATCAGCAGCAGCCCCATCATCACTCACACCATCACCCCACCCTCATCCCCACCATCACCCTCACCCACACCATTACCCCCACAGCATCACAACACCCTCAACCCCAACATCACCCTCACCATCACAATCACTCACCCTCAACCCCAAGATGACCCCCCACCATCACCCTCATTCTTAACTCACTCCCACCATCACCAACACCCCCACCCTCACCATTACCACCACCCTCAAACCCAACATCACTATTATCCCCAACCGCACCCTCAAACCCACTATCACCATCACCCCCACACCACTCCCACCCTCACCATCACCCCCATCCTCATCCCCAATCTCACACTGACCCTTCACTGCCATCATCACCATCACCCTCACAATCACCCCCATACCCAACATCACCCAACTCCCACCATCAGCCCCACCATCAATCCCATCCCCACCATAACCTCCACCATCAACTCCAGCCCCACCATCAACCCCACCATCATCCCCACCATCACCAACAATCATCAACATCACCCCCACCCTCACCACCACCGTCACTACCATCACTCCCACAATCACAATCACACCCACCATCACCCCCATCATCACCATTACCCCATCAACCCGATCTCCACCATAACCGCAACTATCAACTCATCCCCACCATCACCCCTACCATCAACAGCACCCCCACCATCAATAGCACCCCCACCCTCACCACCACAGTTACCATCACCATCACCCCACCATCACCCCCACATCCACCATCAACCCCACCACCAAACCCACCCCCACCATAACCTCCACCTCAACTCCACCCCCACCATCACCTCCACCATCACCATCACACCCACCCCCATATCACCATCACCCCCACCATCACCATTATCCCCACCCTTACACTCACCCCCACAAACCCCATCAAACCCACCCACACCCAAATTGCCAACATCACCCCCAACATCAGTCCCACCATCACCCCCACAATCAACCCCACATCACCATCATTCTCACACTCACCCCCACCATCACCATCACCCCCATTCTCACTCCCACCATCACCGTTGATTGTGGGGCTGATGGTGGGACTGATGTTGGTGATGTTGGCGATTTGGATGATGGTGATTGTGGGGGTGAGTGTGAGGGTGGGGATGATGGTGATTGTTGGGGTGATGGTGGGGTTGAGGGTGGGGGTGATGTTGATGGTGGGGGTGGAGGTGATGGTGGGGGTGGAGTTGATGGTGGGGGTGGAGTTGATGGTGGGGGGTGATGGTGGGGGTGAAGGTGATGGTGGGGAGTGAGGGTGATGATGATGGTGGGGAGGAGGGTGATGGTGGGGTGATGGTGGTGGTGGGGGTGAAGGGGTTGTTGGTGATATGAGGGTCAGCGTGTGGGTGATAGTGATGGCGTGGGTGATCTTGGGAGTGAGGGAGGGTGTGATCATGATGGTAGTGTTGATGGTGGGAGTGAAGGTGGGGGTGAGGGTGAGGATGGTAGTGGGTGTGGAGGTGAGGGTGAGGGTGATGGTGGGGATGAGGGTGAGGTTGGGGTTGGGGTTGGGGTGGGGGTGAGGGTGGGTGTGGTGTTGAGGGTGTTGGTGGGGGTGAGGGTGGGGGTGATGTTGAGTGTGGGGGTGATAGTGGGGGTGATGGTGAGGGTGATGGTGGGGGTGATGGTGAGGGTGCTGGTGAGGGTGGGGGTGATGTTGAGGGTGGGGGTGATATTGGGGGTGGGGTGTGGGTGATGTTGAGGGTGGGGGAGATGTTGAGGGTGATGTTGAGGGTGGGGGTGATGTTGAGGGTGGGGGTGATGTTGAGGGTAGGGGTGATATTGAGGGTGATGTTGAGGGTGGGGTTGATGTTGAGGGTGGGGGTGATATTGAGGGTGATGTTGAGGGTGGGTGTGATGTTGAGGGTGATGTTGAGGGTGGGGGTGGTGTTGAGGGTGGGGGTGGTGTTGAGGGTGAGGTTGAGGGTGAGGGTGATGTTGAGGGTGGGGGTGATGTTGAGGGTGGGGTGGTGTTGAGGGTGATGTTGAGGGTGGGGGTAAGGGTGGAGCTGATGTTGAGGGTGAGGGTGGGGGGGTGGGGCTGATGTTGAGGATGGGGCTGATGTTGAGGGTGGGGCTGATGTTGAGGGTGGGGCTGATGTTGAGGGTGGGGCTGATGTTGAGGATGGGGCTGATGTTGAGGATGGGGGAGATGTTGAGGGTGATGTTGAGGGTGGGGGTGATTTTGAGGGTAGGGGTGATATTGAGGGTGATGTTGAGGGTGGGGTTGATGTTGAGGGTGGGGTTGATGTTGAGGGTGGGGGTGATGTTGAGGGTGAAGTTGAGGGTGGGGGTGGTGTTGAGGGTGGGGTGGTGTTGAGGGTGGGGGTGGTGTTGAGGGTGGGGGTGGTGTTGAGGGTGGGGGTGGTGTTGAGGGTGAGGTTGAGGGTGAGGGTGATGTTGAGGGTGGGGATGATGTTGAGGGTGGGGGTAAGGGTGGAGCTGATGTTGAGGGTGAGGGTGGGGGGGTGGGGCTGATGTTGAGGGTGGGGCTGATGTTGAGGGTGGGGCTGATGTTGAGGGTGGGGCTGATGTTGAGGGTGGGGCTGATGTTGAGGGTGGGGCTGATGTTGAGGGTGGGGCTGATGTTGAGGGTGGGGCTGATGTTGAGGGTGGGGCTGATGTTGAGGGTGGGGCTGATGTTGAGGGTGAGGGTGATGTTGAGGGTGAGGGTGATGTTGAGGGTGATGTTGAGGGTGATGTTGAGGGTGAGGGTGATGTTGAGGGTGAGGGTGATGTTGGGGGTGAGGGTGGAGGTGATGTTGAGGGTGAGGGTTGGGGTGATGTTGTAGGTGAGGGTGCGGGTGAGGATGAAGGTGAGGGTGATGTTGAGGGTGAGGGTGGGGGTGATGTTGAGGGTGGGGGTGAGGGTGTGGGTGATGTTGAGGGTGGGGGTGAGGGTGGGGGTGATGTTGAGGGTGGGGTGAGGGTGGGGTGATGTTGAGGGTGGGGGTGAGGGTGATGTTGAGGGTGGGGGTGAGGGTGGGGGTGATGTTGAGGGTGGGGGTGATGTTGAGGGTGGGGTGATGTTGAGGGTGAGGGTGATGTGAGGGTGGGGGTGAGGGTGGGGGTGGGGGTGAGGGTGAGGGTGATGTTGAGGGTGAGGGTGGGGGTGAGGGTGGGGGTGAGGGTGATGTTGAGGGTGGGGGTGGGGGTGAGGGTGATGTTGAGGGTGGGGTGAGGGTGGGGCTGATGTTGAGGGTGAGGGTGATGTTGAGGGTGAGGGTGAGGGTGATGTTAAGGGTGATGTTGAGGGTGAGGGTGATGGTGAGGGTGATGGTGAGGGTGGGGGTGAGTGTGGGGGTGAGGGTGATGTTGAGGGTGAGGGTGGGGGTGAGGGTGATGAGGGTGGGGGTGAGGGTGGGGGGGGTCAGGGTGGGGGTGGGGGTGGGGGGGGTCAGGATGGGGGTGAGGGTGGGGGGGGGTCAGGGTGGGGGTGGGGGTGGGGTTTGGGGGGGTCAGGGTGGGGGTGAGGGTGGGGTGGGGGTGGTCAGGGTGGGGGTGAGGGTGGGGAGGGTCAGGGTGGGGGTGAGGGTGGGGGTGGGGTGAGGGTGGGGGGGGTGGGGGGGGGTCAGGATGGGGGTGAGCGTGGGGGGGGTCAGGGTGGGGTGGGGTTTGGGGGGGTCAGGGTGGGGGTGGGGTGAGGGTGGGGTGAGGGTGGGGGTGGTCAGGGTGGGGGTGAGGGTGGGGAGGGTCAGGGTGGGGTGAGGGTGAGGATGGGTGAGGGTGGGGGTGGTCAGGGTGGGGGTGAGGGTGGGGAGGGTCAGGGTGGGGGTGAGGGTGAGGGTGGGGTGGGGGGGGTTCAGGCTGTGGACCTGAGGAGCCAATGGGAGGGGCGCTGTGCGGTATTGGCTGAGCGTTGGTTTAATCGCTGAAGACGCGGAGGACTCGGAGACACAGAGCGAGAGAAAGGGAGAGAGAGAGAGAGAGGACGGAGAGCGCGGCCCGAGATCAGCCTCTGGTGCTCTGTCACAGCCACAGTGGCGGCCGTGCGGTTGTGCGCAATATCCACATAACACCGACACACGCGACGGGGCACTGAGAGAGGGGTTCGGACACCCGCACAGACACACAGTGAGTGAGTCCCTCTCCCCCGGGGGTCCCGGGGCAGTCGATGGGAGGTGTGACCGTGACCCACTGCTCCCACCTCCCCAGCGCTATGTTGAGCGAAGCTGATGGCAGCGGCGAGAACTTCGGCAAAGAGGCGGAGAGGGGCAAAGAGCTGGAGTTGCAGCAGCTCCGATACGGGCTCCAGCAGCAGAGGTTCTACCTGAACGGGGAGCAGCAGAGCCACTCCGGCTCAGCGGAGCCCGTCTCCCTGGCGTACCCCTGCCGCTACAGCAGCTGCCCCTACCCCGGCAGGAACCCCCCCGCTCCGGGCACGCACAGCTTCGCCCCCCCCTCCGAAGCGGAGTCGTTCTCGCCGGGCAGCGAGCCCCTGGCGGCCCCCTACCCCGGCTCCGGCCCGCGGGCCGCCCTGTACGGGGTGCCCGGAGTGCAGGTGTCCGGCAAGGCGCAGGTGCTGCTGTGCAACTACCAGCTGTGGAGTAAGTTTCACAAACACCAAACGGAGATGATCATCACCAAACAGGGCAGGTAAGTCACCCACCCCCCCCCCCCCACCCACACACACACCCCACACACCCCACACACACACACCCCACCCCACACACCCCACACCCCGCGGGAACATCTCCCTGAAAACCCGGGTACCTTTTTTGCCGGTGGAAATTGTAAAGGGTATAATAGCTGTGAGAGAGAGACACACACACTGTGAGAGAGAGAGACACACACACTGTGAGAGAGAGAGTCTCACACACACACTGTGAGAGAGAGAGACACACACACTGTGAGAGAGAGAGAGACACACACTGTGAGAGAGAGAGACACACACTGTGAGAGAGAGACACACACACTGTGAGAGAGAGACACACACACTGTGAGAGAGAGACACACACACTGTGAGAGAGAGACACACACACTGTGAGAGAGAGACACACACACTGTGAGAGAGAGACACACACACTGTGAGAGAGAGAGAGACACACACTGTGAGAGAGAGAGACACACACTGTGAGAGAGAGAGACACACACTGTGAGAGAGAGACACACACACACTGAGAGACACAGACACACACACACACACATTGTGAGAGAGAGACACACACATTGTGAGAGAGAGACACACACATTGTGAGAGAGAGACACACACACATTGTGAGAGAGAGACACACACACTGTGTGAGAGACACACACACTGTGTGAGAGACACACACACTGTGTGAGAGACACACACACACACTGTGAGAGAGACACACACACTGTGTGAGAGACACACACACACACTGTGTGAGAGAGACACACACACACACTGTGTGAGAGACACACACACACTGTGAGAGAGAGACAGACACTATCTGAGACAGAATCACGGCCTCTCGCGGGCACATTCGTATTTGCGAACTTATTTGCGAATGGAACTTACAAAGCGTATAATAGCGGAAACCTCCGAGACCCTGTGTTTGTTTATAACGAATTGGGTACCAGAGCCGTGGGGGGGGGGGGGGTGGGGGGTGGGGGTGAGGTACACAACGAGGGTTCAGGTCGCCGCAAAATACACAGTCACTACACCAGCGCCGTGAGACGCCATCCTGCGTGAAGGGTTGCAGGGTCAAGTGCAAAGAGTGTCAGCTGTGGGTGACATGTGCTTCTGTCGTGACCTGTGGTTTATCGGGGGGGGGGAGGTGTTTGGGTGTGGGGGGGGGTGTTTGGGGGGGGGGGTGGGGGGGTGTGTTTGGGGGGTGGGGGGTGTTGCCGGTGTGAGTGCAGTGGGTCAGGTTAACCCTGGCCTCCCCCCTCCCCAAGGTGAGGATGTGAAGTATTATTTGTAGTGGGGGGGGGGGGGAGAGGTGTGTGTGTTGGAGGGGGTGTAACACCGGGCCATTTGCTTGTAACCACTCCAGGATGAGTGAGGCTCACGAATGTGGTGAGATTGCTGTTCGCAAAGTGTGTGAGACACACTGTGTGTGGGGGGGGGAGACACACACTGTGTGTGGGGGGGGGAGACACACACTGTGTGTGTGGGGGGGGAGACACACACTGTGTGTGTGGGGGGGGAGACACACACTGTGTGTGAGAGACACCGACAGTGTGTGGAGGAGAGAGAGACACACACACGCAGTGTGTGAGAGAGACACACACACAGTGTGTGGAGGAGAGAGACACACACACAGTGTGTGAGAGAGACACCGACAGTGTGTGGAGGAGAGAGACACACACACACAGTGTGTGAGAGAGACACCGACAGTGTGTGGAGGAGAGAGACACACACACACAGTGTGTGAGAGAGACACCGACAGTGTGTGGAGGAGAGAGACACACACACAGTGTGTGAGAGAGACACCGACAGTGTGTGGAGGAGAGAGAGACGCACACACAGAGTGTGGAGGAGAGAGACACACATAGTGTGTGGAGGAGAGAGACACACACGCACAGTGTGTGAGAGAGACACCGACAGTGTGTGGAGGAGAGAGACACACATAGTGTGTGGAGGAGAGAGACACCGACAGTGTGTGAGAGAGACACCGACAGTGAGTGGAGGAGAGAGACACACACACAGTGTGTGGGGGAGAGAGACACACATAGTGTGTGGAGGAGAGAGACACCGACAGTGTGTGAGAGAGACACCGACAGTGAGTGGAGGAGAGAGACACACACACAGTGTGTGAGAGAGACACCGACAGTGTGTGGAGGAGAGAGACACACACACAGTGTGTGGGGGAGAGAGACGCACACACAGTGTGTGAGAGAGACACCGACAGTGTGTGGGGGAGAGAGACGCACACACAGTGTGTGAGAGAGACACCGACAGTGTGTGGAGGAGAGAGACACACACACAGTGTGTGGGGGAGAGAGAGACGCACACACAGTGTGTGGAGGAGAGAGACATACACACACAGTGTGTGGGGGAGAGAGACGCACACACAGAGTGTGGAGGAGAGAGACACACACATAGTGTGTGGAGGAGAGGGACACACACGCACAGTATGTGAGAGAGACACCGACAGTGTGTGGAGGAGAGAGACACACACACAGTGTGAGAGAGACACCGACAGTGTGTGGAGGAGAGAGACACACATAGTGTGTGGAGGAGAGAGACACCGACAGTGTGTGAGAGAGACACCGACAGTGTGTGGAGGAGAGAGACACACACACAGTGTGTGAGAGAGACACACACACAGTGTGTGGAGGAGAGAGACACACACACAGTGTGTGGGGGAGAGAGACGCACACACAGAGTGTGGAGGAGAGAGAGACGCACACACAGAGTGTGGAGGAGAGAGACACACACATCGTGTGTGGAGGAGAGAGACACCGACAGTGTGTGGAGGAGAGAGACACACACACACAGTGTGTGAGAGAGACACCGACAGTGTGTGGAGGAGAGAGACACACAGTGTGTGAGAGAGACACCGACAGTGTGTGGAGGAGAGAGACACCGACAGTGTGTGCAGGAGAGAGACACACACATAGTGTGTATGTGTGAGAGAGAGACACACACACAGGGAGAGGCTGACACTGTGTGTGAGAAAGAGAGACACACACAGGGAGAGGCAGACTGTGTGTGTGTGTGTGAGAAAGAGAGAGAGAGAGAGAGAGGAAGAGACATCCACACTATGAAACAGACACTGAGTGTGAGAGACACAAACACAGTGAGAGAGAAAAAAACACTCTGCGTGAAAGACCCACAGGTACTGTGAGACTGAGAGCCGGAAAGACGGCCTTTCTCGGGCACTTTTGCTAACTTCTGACTGGGGTGACATTCCCCACCCGCTGTGGATTGCCCCCGCGCCGAGGATTCCCTCTCTGGGAGAATTGTGACACTTAACTTTACAATTTCTGCACTTGGCTTCGGGGGCTCTCTGGTTAGCCCCAAAATCCACGTTTTTTTAAAAAAAAAATAAGAATTGTACACAGCCACACACACACAGTGAACACACACACACACACACACAGTGAGACACACACACACACACACAGTGAGACACACACACAGTGAGACACACACACACAGTGAGACACACACACACACAGTGAGACACACACACAGTGAGACACACACACACAGACACCAGTGAGACACACACACACAGTGAGACAGACACACACACAGTGAGACACAGGTGAGACAGACACAGACACACGCACACACAGGTCAGACAGACAGACACACACACAGCGAGAGACAGAGACACACACACACGCGGTGAGAGTCAGAGAGGCTCAGGACAGTCGGGGTGACAGCGCAGTGAGAGCTGATGGGCTATTAGCGACAGGAGATTGCGGGTTTTCAGGGAGTGTTTGTGAACGAAGCGCACAAAGCGATGTGTGTGTGTCTGTGTCGGGGCTCTGTGCAGAAAGTGCTCGGGCTGTTGGCGACGCCAATCCGGATTCCCTCTCCTCTCCCGTTGGACATCAAGAGTGTGTTACTCCAGGAGCGGAGGGGATAAGAGTGTAGTGACTGTGACTCTCTCTCTCTCATTTACACACGGTGTGAGGCGCCCAGGACGTTTTATACAGTGTGTAAATGGGGCATTTGTTGGCTGTTCATTCGATATCATCCCATCAATCCAAAAGGGTATCAGCCTGGATCCAGTTCCCAAGCGACGCGGGGAGGATCTGGGGGGGGGGGAGGGGGGGAGGTGGGAGGGGGGGGGGGGGGGGGAGAGCGTCCCAACTGGGGATCTGCTGACACTGTAGTTTGTGTGAGTGTTTGGAGAGAGTCACAGCTATTGCATTGACCAGGACACGCACACAGCGTGAGGAGTGGTGGGTGGGTGGGGGGGGGGGGGGTATGTGGGGGGGGTCTGTCTCTCACTTTATGCGAAAGAAAAAGAGAGAAGAAAACCGAGAAGAGGGGAAAAGAGAGAGAGAGAGAGAGGGTGTGTGTGTGTGTGTGTGTGGGGGGGGGGGGGGGGGGTAACAGAGAAACCCAGGGAAGCGCACGGACCAGGACACAATCCCTGTCGTTGACACCAAAAAGCCACCAGAAAGGACCATATTAACCCAAATTATTATTATTTTTTTGGGGGGGTGTAGTTTTATATAGTTTTATATGAATCAAATAAAAGAATCAGTTCGTGACAGTGATCGGGCTCAGTGGATCAATCAGTCAGTGTGTCAGTCAGTCAGTCAGGTCTCTCCAGAGAGAGAAAAAAAAACAGTCACCACTTTAAACACAACAAACAGCGAAAAAAGAGAGTAAAACTGTGACTTTTACAATCTCGCCACGAGAGGTGTAGTTAACTGGTCACCGCGTCGCGATTTCATAGCAGATCAGTTCCATCTCTCGCTGTGAGATGGTAAAACTCACCGTTTTTGGTTTTTTTTTGATCAATCACATCACTGAGTTATAGTTTAAAGCCTCGCACTTTTGCCCCTAAACTGCACTCTCTCTCCCCCAATAATGATAATAATAATTATCATTGCGTTTGGTAGTAAAATCCGTTCCCCCTTTTCCTCTTCTCCTTTTTTCTCTCTCTCTCTCTCTCTCTCTCTATTGCTTCTCTTCTGTCTCGTTTCACCCACAAAAAACA